CGGAAGCTTGCTTCTCCCTCTTTCACTCCCCCTGCTTGTGTTCCTTCTCTTGCCGTGTCTCTCTCTGTCAAATAAATAAATAAAATCTTTAAAAACAAACAAACAAACCCAAAACTGCCTTAGTCTGATTTTGGTATCAAGAGGAGTTGGATGGCTTTTTCTTTTATAGGTGAAACTGGAATTGTCTTCCTTGTGGGTTTGGTCAAATTCACATTTTCTCTTTCTTGACTTTTCAAATTGCATAGTATATAGAAAGTTATCCATTTCATTTAAAATTCAAGTTTACTGCAAAATGACAATAATCCCCTAAGATTAAAAAAATACCATAGCTGTAGTTATATTCTTTGTGTTTCCTACTAGGTGTGTGGGTGTCCAAGCACACATGAATTTTACTAGAGATTTTATTGGGTTATTTTTTAAGAAACTAGCTTCTGGCTTTGTTGAACCTTTTCTATTTTCTTTGTTTTCTATTTATTAATTTGTTTCCCTCCTTATTTTCTTTCTTCTACTTTCTTAGAGGGTCTTTACCTTTGCTTAGTTGAATACAACTTATTTTTAGTTTTTTTTAATAAATGCATTTAATATAAGTTTCCCTTATATCTGCTTCTTAGGAATTCCCATTATTTGCAAGTTCCAGGTCTTATTTTGTCAGGATATTTATTTATAGAAATTATCTCAGAAATGAGTGTTCATCTTCCTGAGAACAGAGGTTCAGAGAAGTGAATGAGGTCATCAGGTGACCTGTATCAACTTCCTCCTAGAGGATCTTGCCTCTACCCAGTTTTATTGAGAAAAAAGTGCTTCCTCCTCTCAAAAGCTAATCCTTCTATCTGTTCTCTGAATCTCTGCCCCTCCGACTTCCTCAATGATCTTTTTTGGTCAGTTATCCCTCACTGCTGTATTTGGATGTTTTCCCTTTCTACTGGCTCTTTCTTCTGACACAGGAATATTTTATTTCTTCCATCCTTTTAAAAACATCCTCCCTTGATTCTACATCCCTCATTTAACTACTGTACCACCTCTTTTTTTGTGTGTAGAAACTTCTGGAAAAGAGTAGCTATTCAGTCTGTTCAGTCACCTTTCCCATCACTCCTCTCTTGAACCAGTTTTCTGGCTTCTGCCCCCAGAGCTGCAAATGAAACCACCCTGACCAGTCACCAGTGACTACCCCATTGCCAGATGCAGCAGAGGCTGGCCAATCCGTTATACTCAGCTTCACTATAGCCTTTGGCATGGCTGACCACTCCCTCTTTAAAACTCTTCCTATGATTTCTTTGCCCATGTTCTTTTCTGGTTTGGCCCCTACCTCTCCAGGCACTCCCTCTCCTTCCTCCACCAGTCTTCGTATGCTGTTGTTTCCCACAGCTCCCTTATTGATCCTTTTCTCACTCTACAGGATCTTCCTTGGCAATGTCATCCACTTCCCGGGTTCAACTACCACTTTTTTTGTTTTTTAAGATTTTTAAATTTATTTGAGAGAGAGAGAATGAGAGAGAGCACGAGAGGGGGGAGGGGCAGAGGGAGAAGCAGACCCCCCGCTGAGCAGGGAGCCTGATGCGGGACTTGATCCCGGGACTCCGGGATCATGAGCTGGGCCGAAGGCAGTTGCTTAACCAACTGAGCCACCCAGGTGCCTCTCAACTACCCTTTTAAAAGGATGTCTCCCAAATATCTAGTTCATGGCCAGAGCTCTCTTGAGGCAGAGACCTAAATATTCAGCTGCCTGCTGAACTTCCTCACTTGCATGTGCCATTGCATCTCAAATGAACATGACCAAAATGGAACATACCATCTTTTTTCCCACATCTGTTCCTTTTCTTTTGTTCCCTACCTTGGTAAATGACCCCACATCTACCTAACTCCCCAAGGAGTTATTTTGGATTCCTCCTTCCTTAGCCTGAATATCCAGTCATTGAAATCTCACCACCTCCCAAGTTTGCATGCACTGCCTCGTCTCCATCCCGTCACCGTCTTGGCTGAAGTGTCCTTGCTCTATCCCTGCAGTTTCTGCAAAGGCCTCCCAACCAGTCTCCCTGCCTTGGCTTTTATCACTTTCCCTGCCGACACCAATCCATGTCCTATACCACCAGCATAATTTCCTAGGTTGCAAATTTGAGTATGTCATTCCCTTGCTCTAAACCTCTCATTGGCTCTCTTTAGTCCTCTGGATGAAAGTCCAAAATTCCTAGCAAGATACACAAAGCCCTTGGTGATCTGTGCTTGGATCAAGCCTCCATAGATAACTAGCTTTTAACTTTTCTCCCTTCAAACCCTCCATCCTAGTAACGAATGGTAGTTCACAGAAAATCCAACTCTGCCTTTCTACTTGTTGCTTTATCTGGCTGTCTCATCCTTCAAAACTCAGTTCAGGAGCGCCTGGGTGGCTCAGTCAGTTAAGTGTCTGCCTTCAGCTCAGGTCATGATCCCAGGGTTCTGGGATCGAGTTCCGCGTCGGGCTCCCTGCTCAGCAGGGAGTCTGCTTCTCCCTCTCCCTCTGTCCCTCCCTGGCTCGTGCTCTCAAATAAATAAAATCTTTAAAAACAAAACTCAGTTCCGATGTCACCTCTTCCAGCAAGTAGTCCTCATTATTCCCCCTCATCATTGGATTGGGTGCCTGTCCTACCTGCTGCCACTGTCCACCCTTTCTCATAACCCTTAATATATTGTACTGTTTTCCTGGATCTCCTTGAAAGCAGTGACTTAATTTTCTCTCTTTAGCTTCGGTTCTGTTGCAGTGTCTTGGGCCTAATGGATAGACATTCAATAAATGTATGTTAGGTGAAAAATTGTTCTCAGCTGCCTAAATAGGTTGGACAGTAATAGTTCAAGGACCAGTTTTAGTGTTGGAGAACACGCACAATTTGATGGGCTCACGTTAAATTGAAACCAAGACATGAAGAACAAATGACATCACTTTAGTGAAGGCTGAAATCCAGTCCAACCACAGATTAGAAAAAAAAAAAAAATTTTATGATCCATAGTTTAAAACTACCACATGCCACGTGGGTAGGAGGAAACCTAAACTTTAATTGTTCCTGACAAAGGCTTCTTAGTTTTCAAAATGACCCTCTTGTGTTCCTTGATTTGTCTTCCTGTTACAGCACTGATTTACTGTAACTTTGGATCTCTGTGTTCATTTTCCTTAGACCACTCTAGCTATCTTTAGGTCTTACCATCTGAGGTTAAATTTAAAATTTATCAGTTCCAATTTATCAATCTTCCCAATGTGTGAAGCATTAAACACAATCAGGCATCAATATTTATTAACACAAGACAAAGGAAACACATTCAATGAGTTAATAGAACACTGTCCAGCCAGATGTTAAATTTAAAAATGTATATCTAGTCTAATTTCAAATAAATAAAAAAACTTTATACATAATTACACAGTACTATAGTTTGAATTTGACACTGGTAAATATCTTGACAGAAAGTAAACAAAACATCATTTAGGACTAAAAAATTATTCTTATATCTTTACACACTCTTCCTGTGGACAAATAACATGGCCCATCTACACATACCTAGACCAGAAATGTTTTATGAATGATAAAGAAAAGGCCTATTGTGTATTTGGAGTACTGCAGCTTCTTGCTCCAAATACTCTTGCTTTTACATCAAAGCAGACAACAAAAACAACACTAAGGCATAGGTTATGTTGGAGTTTGAGGGTGAGGTGATAACTCCTCATTGCTTTAGTCTAAAAGATTGCTGGATATTCAAAGAAAGTAATTTATTTGGCCAAGATATTGAGCACCATGCCTGGGGCGGAGACCTTAACAAAAAAACCTAAGGCCTCAGGCCCTTTGTTGATTCAACAAAAGCATTAAGCAAGCACTGCCCAGGGACTAAAGAAAGGAGACACACTTATATTACCAACAGACAGGCAATGGTCCCTAAACAGCCCGAGGCAGCACAACTTCGTGAGGAAAGGGCTTGATGGTGGCGATGGTCTGGACCGGGCCCCCTTTCTGAGGCAGCAAGTAAATAAAGGCTGTGGATTCACACCCATGCCCGTTAGCATGCCGGTCATTCCCAGGGTCTCACTGATGCAGGAGATGACACTTGTGCAGCTCTAAGAATCCCTTGGGCTTAGGAATTTTCCTGAGGCAGCCCCTTCCTGATCTACCTCAATTACTTCTGCTGAGAGGCAGAAAGAGGTTCAAAAGCTGTTAGATGAATGGATTTCTCTTAACTGAAATGGGGGCTTGCTATTAATCTCATTGTCTTTTTCACAGGCATAAAATAAAAACCCAGACAGAATGTGTTCCAGAGTTTTGGCTAGGCTGTTTCTATCGGTAATGGCCTTTTGGGTCTGTCCTAAGAGTCCATTCTACCACAAAGGTTCTACTTAATGTGGAAAGGGCAAGAGCACTGTGTCATCAGGAGGAAGTTTTCTTATCCAAGTCTGTACCAGACTAGGCATTAAAACTATAGATGACCCCTCAAACACCCACAGGCTAACGACTGGACTCTCTTCCCCTTCCAGAGGATCCTTTACCACAGTTACTGAGAAGGTCCCGAAGACATAGCTCAGCTTTCTTTCCTCCACTAGCATATTCTGGCTTTGGGGAATATGCAAAAGATCAGTAAAGCAGCCACAAGGTAGAAAGCAAAAACTAAAGATAAATCAAAGGCCTGAGGAACTACAAACCCAGATAATCAGACCCTAAGTAACTGGGAGTTGACCATACTCTGAGATTACTGGAGTATCTTATTTGAAAGAATGAGTACACATCACCTCTGCCCAATACTGTAGCTACTAGCCATATGTGGCTATCTGAAAACTTGAAGTATGGGTAGTCCGAACTGAAATGTGCTTAATACACACTGGGTTTCAAAGACTTAATATGAAAAAAAGAAAAGAAAGTATCTCAATCCCTTTTCATATTGATTCCACATGGAAATTATAGTATTTTTGATATACTGGGTTAAATAAAAGATATTAAAGTCAATTTCACTGGTTTCTTTTTACTTGTGCAAATGTGGTTACTAGAAAATTTAAGATGACCGATGTGGCTCACATTATGTTTCTACCAGACACCCTAACTTGTGCAGTAAGAATTTTCAAAGCAACCCATAGGATAAGACTCTGCCTATATTTTTTTCTTAGAACTCGTGGATTATGGAGATAGAACTATTTAATCCTCAGGATCCCTTGCTTTGTTTAGTGAATCATTAAAAACTATTGTAAGAAAATTACTTTCCAAATAAGCAGGCTGTTCTTTCTGCAAACTGAACCATAGCTAGTCACTGGGATTTCCTGCCCCAATGTAAGTACTTTTTTTCTGTACATCTTAGAACCTCTTCCATCATGTGTAAATTAATTTCATCCAAAATGTCAAAAAAGAGATCTGGAACTGGAAAATGTCTTGAGGTCTGCCCTCAGCAGAGAAAAAACTGGGAGGAAAAGAGACTTATGTAAAAGGGAGGCAAGAAAGTGGCTTGGAGCCACAAGACTGAAGGGCAGCCCCCGAGAGTGACGAAGGGTCTGGGCTTTGCATTATAAACCTTATTTTCAGGGTAATTACAAGTCTTAAAAATTGTTTAAAAACATATTTAGTTTACATGATGTTACAGTGGGGTAAATAATATGTATTATTAAAATAGTCTAAATAAATATTTACACAATAGACCAGAGTGGGTCCATTCTGATATAACAAGTTAACTCTGTTCACTTGGAGCTTTTCTTTTTTTTTTTAATTTTTAAAAATATTTCTGTAAGAAAAAAATAATAAAATTCAACTATATTCAAATACATGAAGTATCAGACCAAAGAAAGGAAACCGAGCCAGAGGCCAAACTCAGTCCCACGCTCAGTCCACTTGGCCTGGGCACCACAGTTATTTCAAAAGAGTTTCTTGCATACATCAGACTTCCCCTATTTCAGCATAAGCCTCACTATTTTGGCAACCCAAATCGGTCAGTTTTGAGATCTGTAGTTATGTCACCTTTATGGTTTCCCGTGACTGCTGATCCCACTGCCTTCCCAGCCTGTCATTCTTGTTCCTAAAATCCCTGCCCTCATGAACTGGAAGAACAGAGGACACTCTTCAGTTTTCCGAAGAGAAGCTATATGGATAAACTGGAGACGAAGTTGACAATAGGCCTGGAAAAAGAGGAAATCCTAAAATCTTACGTAGTCACTCTAAATCTGAAACACAGTTTCAACACCGGGGGCCGGAGTGAGTTCTTGTGGTTTCTTAGGATAGGGTGGGATCTAATGAAGCTTAGCCTTTTCATAACAGTTTGATTTTTAAACCGAGATTTTTCAGCTTGTAGAAACAGGTTGAATTCTTAAAAGCTTAAGCTGATTCTGGGAATGCAAGCTTGAAAAACAGAGGCAGCTTTCGTTTATAAAATACATCAGCCAACAGAGACATAGTACAATGTGCAGCGAAACCTGCAAACAATTTGCACTTTTTAGTTACCTATTCAATTACACTGCATTAAGAGAATATTGAAATTCTCACCAAGTAGAAATGCTTCTACTTTAGTTGTCATGACTACACACGCCAATTCTTCAATTGTTTAGCTGAATTGTGTGTATTCTTATTTACACGTTTAAAACACTGGTCAAAATGTTTTACTCTCAAGAATTATATATATATAAAGTAACTCTCCTATTCAGTGGGTTATTTGATTTGCTTATTATGGGTCAGCAGAAAATAAGCTGAGCAGTTCCACGTCAACAAACCTGCAGAAAGTCCAGCTATGGTAAAACGGCAGAATACAGTACAGAGCGGGGAACTGGAGAACTCCCGACTACCCCCTTCATGTGAATTCATTAAACTCCCTTACAAAATTCTAAAACAGCATTAGATAAAAATACAAGTATATACAACAGATGAAAAAAATGCAACATGCATGGAATCGCTTTAGTAACGTGCTGCTCACGCTATGTCAAAGCTCATGACTAATGGACTGTTAACATTTTTTTCATTTGCTACCATACGATTCCCCTTTCCTGTGTGTCCTGTGATTGCAGAATCCCACAGGATGAGATGAAGGATATAATGTAACCATCTCAGCTTATTTCACATCATATGAAAGCTTGCTCCTAGTCACTGGTCTTTGGTCCTTGTGGTTTTTCAGGATGGCCCCCCTGTGATCCCCACAAGGCTGGTTACATGTTATAAGCCACATAGATGGGGTCTAACTGGTCCGCCAGGAAGCTGTCACGGAGGTGCATCCTCTGCTTCTCTCCTCTGGAGTTGATGGGGATAACACCTGGGTCCACCACCACCACGACGCCAACGATGAGGTAATGCTCTTCCAGGACCACGTTTGTCACTAAAGGAACCAGATCTAGGGCTTCCTGTTCAGAGCCACATAGTTCCACAACCACCACAAGCAAGTTGGTCCATGTGAACACGGCACTGAAATTTCAATGACATTCAGTTAACATGTCATTACATTTACCAGGCATCTTTCATAGGATCTGCTCAAGACTTATCCCAATTTCCCTGACAACTGTCTTCTCTCTCGGATCCAAGCAGAAGGCTAGCAGCCATGCCTGCCATGACCTTGCCCCTGTGATTGCAGCTGATTAGCTGAGCCATCTACAGTCTCTCGGGGGTTTGGCAATGGGTTTGAAAGTTGTTAGCTGGTCATGTGAACTAAGCACATGTGAAAGTTTTGGGGTAGCTGGGTGTCCAGAGCAGCACAGAGAATGGCTCTTCCGGGACGAGAGAAAGAATGAAGTGGATGCCTCTATGGCTCTAGAAAGTGAGAGGACAGTGGTTCCTGATGGCCTTCCCATCCCTTACTTCTACCTTTCTTGAGATCCAGAGAGACTCTTAGGAACCTCTCAGGTAGCCAGGTATTCTTTTCATTAACTCTCTCTTTTGCTGAAGTTTTTTTTGAAGAGAGTTTCTGTTATTTACAACTGAAGAGCTTTGACAAAGATAATATTCTGAGGCCCAACAGGAAGGGAGTGGACCTCTCATCTGTGCTTAGTGCCCCATACAGGTGTCTCTCCCATCGGGCCATAAAAGTGACATAAGGTAGAAAGTTGCCTTCCATGGAGTGGGACTGCTGGGTTAGAAGGTATGACCTGACCTGTGATATGAAATGTTAAATAGCTTTAAAAAACAGATTCCAATCATTAAAAAAAAAAATGTACACAATACTTGGTTGCATAAAAAGTCAAAGGTCTAAAAAAAAAAACAAACAAAAGTCAAAGGTCTAAAACTAGAGGGTAACCATGGCACCTGACTTCTCTGTATTGTTCTTATAATTCATGGGCATTGCTCGGGTCTGGGGAGAGACTCTGACCAAAGTGAGATGAAGATGCTGACAAGGGGCGCCTGGGTGGCTCAG